AAATTTTCCCGGGTACGCAGTATGCATATGAGGTGCAGATGACCGGGCAAAGAAAAAGTGAACTATAATTCATTTTGAATGTGTTTCAGTGATTGCAACTCACATCGAATCAAATATCAACAGCCAAGCACAGCTCACAAGTTACGAGGGTCGCTATTCTCGGGCTGTAAAGATGGAACTCAGTCAATATTACTGTAGGACGATGATTTTCCACGAGCACTCATGTGATTTACAGCCAAAGGAGCAGAAGAGTGTTGATCGTTTGAGAGCTGCCTTTGATGATAACGCGAATTCAAGAAGCACCGTGTTCCCGAATGTCAAGCAAATGATACGTGGAATCCGATACGAGTCACTAACAGGTGCAGTGGAGGCCTTTATTGAACTGGTCGAAGGGTTGTTGCGCGTTTCAGTGTGGTCGAGCTGTTTCACCAAATAGTTTGGGTGCATGGAACTGTGCATGCACGCTGGTGGTTAAATATTTCGAGAAAATGTAATCCTAATTTTTGTGTAACAAATAAAACTTTTGTGCATCCGGAAACTTTGTGCTCAGCCGTCGTATAAATATATGTGGATCGGGCAATATATTTTTAAACCTGATTCATCCAAGGCGAAGTTCAATGACGAGTTGATCAACATTTTGTATGAAATAGTCAGTATGAACTGAGGCAGTCTCAAACAAACGACGTGGAAGGCGCGACTGTCAGCTTGTCAACCATCGGTCAATTGCCGTATAAACATCCTTATTCGGACAAGAAGGTAACCAATCAACTGGTGAAACAGATCGCGGACACTGTCCAATCCACACGTACAAAGGGAAATTATAGAGACTGGGTGAAACGATCCGATCGCATCCGATAACACAGTGTTAAGACTGTAAATTGACGAAACTGACTACACGACATATGGTGCTGTCGTTGTTATGGCTACTCAGTTGTGGGTTGTAGAGCTATTCGAAGTTTCCACAATGCGCCTGTTCATTGGGGGCCTTGAATGATGCCCGATGACATACCGAACACCAAATTCACTTTCTCATTACATACGATTCCTTTTTAATATGTTGGACGAGGCGTTTAGAGACTTCCAATGCGTAAGATTCTTCAATGATTCAAATTGCTTGATTTTTTGGTACATCAGAAAGCTGGACCTGCAAAATGGCTCGACCATAGGGGTGCACTGTTTAAACTTTTATCAATCAAGTTCCTTTGAATCATTTCACGTCATTACGACAATCGGTTGCGCAACATACGACTGTCAGAACTTCTCATTCCTTCGCCAAGCTGTAGAACACCACCCTGTGTAAAACAGAAGTACTCCACATTCCCTGATCTCAGAATATTCCGATATCTTTCTGTGTGGTGATATGGCTAATGCTTGTGTCTGGAGGCTAAAGAATTACGCGTCGATGCTAAAACTGGATGGGGAAAGTGTAGTATTCGGAATAGGAATCGAAATCGAATAGCGCGAACTCGGTATCGGACTGAAAACCCACTGAATAGCACAAAGCCAGGTAGAACCAAAGCGAGCTGTAGATACAGTTACTTCTATTAAGAAAATCATGGAAATATATATTACAAGCAACAAACAATCATTGGTCGATTCTTGAATGTCCAATTNTATGGTTTATCTGTTTGCCTTCTTGCATTCAGCCAATCCGGATGATGCCAACTGAGACCACAGGGTTGGTCGGTTATCCCGCTTCTTGATTGGTTACTTGGAAACTGTACCGCGGTGCTTGCGTACTCGTTACACGATCACCACAGAAAGGCACGGAAGTGCAGAGAGATTTTTCTAACCTAAGACAAGTAGCCCAGCACAAATTTGTGCTAGTGCACCATACGGTAAATAAGGTCTAATGTGATGAGAAGAACCGGATATGATAGACCACTTTTGGTTGCTCTTTTTAGGCTGCCCATTCGGATAAAAGAGCAGAACGAAGATTGATTTGTTGTTAGCAGAGTCAAAGAGAAGATACAAATGAAATTTTGTGGCAGTAAAAGACAATTATACTCAAGTGAGGTCGTTCGGAATCACTCCAATTAACATCGTCTTATTGATCAATACATATTAAAACTGGATTCATAAGGCTTGTTGGCTTGATTAGTCATGAGAACACAAAATAGCAAACAAGCACTGTTAGGTTAAGCAAGCGATGAGAGGAAGCATACATCTACGAAGGAAATCAGAGTTTAAAAAAAAGATTATGGAATTGTGATAATTGATGTTTGTGAGTGTGTGCTTGGAAAGTGGAAGGCAGAGGTCGCTGTGAAATGGGTGAGTAGGTGGATAAGTCAGAGTTCATGAACGTAGTTCACGTCAGCCGGATTATTAGTGATCTTACAAACTGTTAGTGGGCGCTCAAGAGAGAGGGGGTGTTTTGTAGACGGATGGGCTAGGCTGTGTTGACAAAATTCCGAACTTGACCTTGTTTGGATAATCTGCCCTTGACTTTACAGAAAGGACAATAAGCCCAAAGTATATTGACTGTTGGGATGAGACTCCGTCAGGTGGTTCGTAATTGCCGTCGCCCCGTTCCTTGTCAATCCGTGATTCTTGTATGGCGATTGTGTAAAGTTCAGTAGACTCGGTGGGATTCGAACCCACGCATGGACACCGCCTAAGCTTTGCATGCGCACGTTCTACCAGTTGAGCCACGAGGTCACGCCGGTAGCAGTGATCTTTTCACATTCGAATTACCCGTCCAACTTACAGAGGCATATGGCATCCACCAATTGGCATGTAAGCTGACTGCCCCGACAGATTTTCATTAGAATTCACCCGAGTCCACCGAATGAACATCTACGACAAGGTAAATCCATTTACACAATTAACCTTGTGAATTTGATGAAAGATTGAATTCGTCCACTAGATATTTTCGCGTTCGTTCATAAATTATGCTGTATTCGGCTAATTGATGTAGCACTGAAAACGAGCTTGTTTGTTAGTTTGTGTTCTCATGACTATTCAGTCAGGAATAAATTCGTGTTCGCTCGATTAATTCAACATGGCTATTCTATTAGGTCCTAGATGTACAATAGAATTACAATAATTATGCGGTTTCAGTGACTTACTTCAAATACGCATTGATGTCCAACATGGTGAGTTCCATGAATTGCTCGTATTTTCTCGCATATGCTTCCATCGGTATGATGGCCGCGGCAACATACTCTTGCAAATTTTCCCGTAACACCTCCACCGGTGGTTCGTGTATGCCAACCGCTTCCAATAGGGGATTTTCCGCACAACTGATTCCCTCCATGACGAACTGGCAAAGATTGAATTCAGGGTGATGGTAGTCAATTGCGGAACCGGTTCAAAAGTGAGTCACTTCAGAAAAAAATTACACGTCCCTTATCACGGTGTGATCTGTGGTGTTTTTCGATGCCCAAATCTTTACAAGATATACTCCCATCGTACAAATTGTTTTCATTCTGAAGGGCCCAGTGATTTAGTCAATGTCACAAGTATGCTTTAGCTTCCGTAGTTCAAGGTTTGAACCCTGTCACAGTCACCCAACTTTGATGGTAGGCAGCTTTGTTTTGGTCCGATTCAATACCACGCCTATCCTGGTGGGAATTTATGGGATTCATCACTCCAAGTCCTGGGGCTTAGGTTACTGGTTTCCCCCACAGAATAGCATATCTGCTATTCATCACACTGTTCTCATCCTGGGTGAACAGGCTTTTGTCGATAATATTTATTTTGCTGATCAATGTACCTAGTGACACAATGGAGGGTATTTTTCTTACTAGTACAAGTACAATCTTCTGTGAATCATAGAAGAATAAAGAAATCAGCCTAGTTTGATATTGTTATTATTGTTAAGAGGAGTATGTCATTTGTGAAAATACAATATAGGTTCAAGTCGAATTGGTCGGATGTAGATAGATATTCTATAACATTCCCATGAATATATCTGTCAGAATGACTCGCTGGATCATCTATCAACATAATGTAGTTCATTATTCAAATGCACCAATGAACATCATCCGTGGTGTAGCTGAGGGAAATTCCATAATTCCCACTTAGTGGGCATTTGGTTGATTATAACAATTGTATGTTTGATAGTAATGGAGGATTTGGTATGGTTATATAGCGAATCTGAAACGCTAGGAAGCATTGGACAATTGTATCGATCTGGTTGGATCTCATCAGCGGGGCGAATCCATCGACCCAACTGGGGATCGAACCCGGAACCTCAGAGACAGAACGCAAAACAGACTACCCACGTTACCATCGGGCAGCTGAACAGATCGTTTCACATTTTGCCTATATTCAATATAGCGCAAGCCATCTTTATCATTAACATGAAAACCGACTAGGGTTAGAGCACTGGAAACGGCTGAGTCCATAATCTTTTCAAACCTGATCTTTGCATGGAACGGAAATCGGTCTAGGCATTCCAAGTTCCCTTCCCGAAACCGAACCACGAAAGTCTATTGATCACATCTTATCGAGTGACTGGAGTCGGCCTTCCTCTCTCCGAGCCAATTCGAAGTAAGATTGACCTTATAGTCAATTCTTTTCTTCTGTCATAAGTGGATCTAGACTGTTCAATACAAAACATCGTTTCAGTGCCATTTTCAATCGATGGCCAAAAGGGATTCAAAATGTTCATGCTCCGTAAGAATTAAAATATCGTCCACAGACCGTCTGTACAAGGTGAACTGTGAGATATTATTGGCAAGATTTTGTTCAATCATTCCTAACATCAAATCAGGTAGAATTGGGCCTAATGGACTATCCATGACTACGCCATCAATCTGTTTGTATGTGGCTCCTTCGAATTCAGAATGAATGTTTTCCATGTTCAATGTTTTAATGTTCCAATTTTACTTTAAAATAATAAAACCATCACGTTATGTGTCAACAACAACAACAACAACAACAACAACAACAACAACAACAACAACAACAACAACAACAACAAAACACTCGAAAGATATTCAAGCCAATTGATGACTTATCTGATAAATAATTTTCATTTAGAAAGATTGATAAACTTCCCGGTATAGAAACAGTAATTAAATACACACTATCTGATAAGCATCATGGTTCACTTACTCGTTCCAATTGAGGGACATCTTGTACCGAATTGATGGCCTTGTCAAACAAAGACACGAGAGTTGTGATAAAATTTCTCAACGGTGTACTGTAATGTGGACCGTCCGCATCCAGTACTAAATCTACCAAGAAGATTGGATTCTTTTTAGGCCTGTGCGTGTATGTGCGTGTTTCGGGGACGAGGTTGGGACGGGAGGACAAGAAGGAAATTCGGACATTCATTACTCAACGTTCAATGCTATATTGTACCTGTGTCTCTAACCTCACGTTTTCCCACCAGCTTCACACACACACACACACACACACACACACACACACACACTTGTAGACAGGTCTGATAGCATTCCAAACCTCGGCATCCTTTTACTCGTGCTGATCATTTTTGTGCCACGGTCTATAGAAAGAGCATTGACCAGCTGTTTTGTCCATCAGCAGTGCGTACTATATTTATGTACCTAGCGATACTCGAATTGTAAACTTACAGATTAAGAATGGAAAACTCGACTGTTAAGTTTCAAATGGGAAGGTCAAAACCTTATATACATATACGTATATAATGACGAGGGCTGAGCAAACATTTTTCCGGATACGCAGTAGACGTACGAGGTGCAGATGACCGGGGGCAAGGCAAAAGTGAACTGTAATCGATTGTGAATATCGTTCAGTGATTGCAACTCACAGAATCAAAAGTCAACAGAAAAGGCTAGCTCACACGTCTCTCACTGCAGGAATAGGACTCAGGCAATGACAGCGGAGGACGATGATTTTCTAAGACTACAACGTGGTTTAAAGCCGCAGCAGCAGCAGCTAAGTATTGATCATTTGCGAGCTGCCTTTGGTGATGACTCTCCTTCAAGAAGCACTGTGTTTGAGTAGTTTGCAGAATTCAAGCCTGTTATGCAGTCCATGGATGAGCGACACGATGTGGCCTACCCATGGAGGCCACCATAGAGAACAACATTACGGCCGAGCAAGCGATGATGGAGGAAGTTTCGCGGGTGACAGTAGTTCGGCTGACGAAAGACATCAGGATCCATCCGCACCATTCTACATGAGAAGCTAGGCCTCAGAAAGGTTTGAGCAGTGGCAAGCTTTTATCACTTTTATTCCTAACCCATATCTAAAAGTTATGCACCGTTCAAAACTGAACTCAGAATCGGATGCAATAACAAAATGGCTAAGTCCTTATCAAACACATACCACACACATCACATTATTTCTTTGTTCACATACCTCTCAATGTAGCTTGCTCGTATCGTGCCTGGTTTCAATCAGACCAATGAGAATTAAAATATAGTATTGCGCTTAATTAAGTTGTAACTGGACATCAAATGCATTTTGTAACATTCACGAATAAAATGAAGAGGGACCGAAGATGAAAAATATTATAGTTTAGTTGACTCTAATTTCATGATCTGATAAATTCATTTCTAATCACCAAAGAAAGATCGACTTCTTAAACACTCTTATTGACACAGCAATCCTCTAAGCATTTCTGTACTGGAGAAATTTGCGTTTGTTCTTTCAGGTGATCAGCAGACCATTGTTTGTGGTCACCAAGTTGAGGCTTAGACGCTAGCGGGATTTGGCTAAACACCTGGAGTTCTACAGTCCAGGATGACATGGAATGCTTTGTTTACTGTATGCACCAAACTGGCTTCGGATCGCTTATAGAATTGAGCGATCATCCTGGGAGAAATCCGCGAGTCCGACTTATTCTCACACGTGTAATTCACACACGACTGAATCCAGGGTGTGTCAAACAAATCACGGTGCAATAATCTTTAGAAAAATGAGTAAAGCCCATAAATTGCTCCCCAAGTAGGGACTATTCGTTCATACTCCGTAAAGAGGCCCAACTGATCATTAAGTTGATCAGTCATCATCGAATTTTAGATACCCAATTAAAGACTTCTTGTATAATGACAAGCAAAGAAGTTGAGAGAAAAGCGATATTGTGCACACAACTGGCGACTACCTCAATTGAGACTAGAGCTCAGTTGAACTTGTCATCTATCCAAATATCCGTGGTAAGGAGAAAGCGCGTATAAATCTCCAAATCAGAGGTTGTTTTCCATCAAAAAAGAGAAGAAACCAACAGTTCATTTTGAATGTATCAGTACATGAATGAAAATTACGCATTATAGTTTTGGATTCATCCCATAAAAAGTAGAAATCTGAAAATCTTCATGGACACCTTTATCTAGCTAATACAGATTTGAACTGGATCTCCATCCATCCCACCCCGGACGGTGCGTGTGTGTGCGCGCGTGCACACACACACAGACACAACCGTTTCAAAAACTTACGGCAGACTACTGGTCAATAAATCATTGGTCCACTCAAAAGAGGCATTCAATTCTAAACAGTTGGCACACGCATCACGGACCATATTGACCAGACTGGTCAGGGAATCCATAACCAGATAACGCATTGTGTCTTGCATACAGTATTTGCCCAGTTCCATGAGCTTTTTCAGCTTCGATTGACTGTACACATAGAAATCCGTTTCGTATATGTTGAACCATCCTTTACCGCTATCACGAAGACAGGTCCGAATGTATTTCCGCAAATTATCCAGCCATGCATCCTGTATTGTGAAAAATAGTGTACAAGAACATTTGGAAACACATTGAACGACAGATATAGAAAGAAACGGAAATAATTCCACACAACAAACTTCGAACATTTCAACATAAGATGATTCAATGCAAGCGTTCGATGGAGAGCCGTGTCCAAGTGAATACACATCGTTGTTCTCGATGCAATATTTTCATTTCTAATCTCTCACTACTGCTACGTTATCAGTAGTTACATTCTGATTCATTTTTGATTCAAGTTTTGGATTAAGCCGATGTTGCGATCTAAACCGAAATCTCTCTTCAAGCTGCATGGTTAAGCATTGCTGCAACGATTTTAGCATTTGTCCTTTTAAAAGAGTATTGATATTCGAAGTAATATTTTCTTTTTACCGACGGTTTCGTCAGGAGTCCAGTTCAGTTCAGTTCTTACAACCATTAACCATGCACTTTCGTGCACCGGTTTTGATTACCCATTTGGATAAAATAGCAGAATGATGATCAGAATGTTGAGAGCAGACTCAAGCGAAAGGTAGGACGTTTTCATCGACTGCAGTTACAAGAATAATGAGTAGATGCATGAACGCCACTGTTTGCGACACCCAGCCATATCGCTCAGAATCTCTAACCATCGGCCCCCATCCAGGGAGCCTAACGGGACCTATGTGAACCAATCTCCTGGTCAGGGTTTTCATATCCTCATGCCAGGTCTTAGTTTGACCGCCCTTGATCTCTTTCCAACGGCTACCTGCCTCGCCAAAGACCGCTCGCCTTGGCAACCTATCTGGTGACATGCGTAGCACATGTCCCAACCAACGTAATCTATGGAGGTCGATCACTTGCACCAGTGGACAACCGTGATTATCTAAAACTCTACACCTAACCTCAGCATTGCTTGTCCGGTTACCCCACCAGACTCGTACAACGCGACGTAGACAGTGGTATTCGAACACCGACAGTCCATTTTTATCCTCCCTCCGTAATGATCAACTGTCTGCACCGTAAAACAAAACTGACCGAACTGGTGCAGCATACACTTGACCCTTCACAAACAGTCGGATGTCACGATGATGTCACAGAAGTGAAAACGTAACGCGATACTCATTCAGAGGTGATGATGATGGGGCATGATCGTGTTTGCTCACTCAGATAGGGGAACAGGTCGATGGTCAACCTTAACCAGTGATTTGAACTATATGAAACAAACAGACTTGCTGAATGGATCACACATGCCAATCCGAACTCTAAGTCTGTCACTGACAGATACACACGTGAGTTGCAACGTTACTGAACGTGATTAGGTGACTTTGTGAGATGCATTTTAGGGTAAAGTGTGGCGGTGGGCCGCACATTATACTCACTCTGTTTATGACACTACCGCCGGTTTTCAACTACGTCCATTGCTAGCCCTCTTTCTCTTCTCAGTTTCCAGATTTGTTTAAAAGGTGTATCGTTGTAAGCAAACCCAGAGGTGAAAAAATAAACATTAATTGAGTCGGAGCAGTATAATGAAAGGGTTTCTCGATATTAAGCAATTTATGGCGAAGCACTGAACCGTAGGACAGCTGATGATTACGTTTTCATTAGAGTACAGTTCCAAGGACAGAAAGCCACATTCCGAAAAGGGCAGTTCATTGGTTTCTGATAGATTTTACTTTATTTCGTCTTTATTTTCACACACGTCTGAGTTTAGACCATTTGCCAAATAAATGATGCTAGAATAATCTTTATAAAAAAGAAAAAAGCTTCATGCTTTGCTCGAGGGAAAGGTACTGCCAGGTAGACCCGGGTTAAAGTAGGTGAATTTTCTTGGGTAATTCACAACCGGAGCCTTCGGCTACCCAAAGTCTGACCCATAAGGCAGCGGGGCGGTGTGTGAAAACCGCAATCCATTGGGGGTCAGTGTCCAGTTCATCAGATCATTTGTCCTTCGGACGGGGTCAAAATCAATACACCTCAATATCCAATCGTGCCGGTGACCACTGCCACAACCAGGAAGTTGTGCGTGTTTCGGTTTCAGTTTCAGTTTAAACAATCATGCACTTTCGTGTGCCGGTTTTGGTTGCTGTCTTTTGGTTGCCCATTTGAGTGAGCAAAAGGAGGAAAACAAGATGGTTCAGAGTAGGGTCGAAGAGAAAATTGAGAAGTTCAGTGGACGAATGATGCAGAGAAATTGAGAACATGCACGAACGCCACTGTTTACGACACTCAGCCATATCACTCAGTGACTATCCCGAGGTCCCCAGCCGGGGAGCCTAACAGGACCTATGTGACTCAGACTCCTGGTTAGGTTTTTTATATCTTCATGCTAAATCTTACCTTGACCACCCTGGGTTTTTACACCTTTTCTTGTTTGGTTTGGAATCAAGATTTTTAACCAACTCGCCTAGGTGAACTGCCAGTGGTTCACCGACCGGGTTATAGCCCCGGATGTTGGTAGTAAGTGTTTAACTTATCACCTGACTAAGGCCTAAGAGAAATAGTAAACTCTGAACCCTGAATTAATTGCAGAACAGTGTACGATGATTATTTGTTAAAAAGAGACAGAACCCCAATGTACCTTGAGAAACAGAGCAACTTGTACGGTCATCATGGACTGTGTCTGTTCGAACTCTTCCAGTCTCATATGTTTTGAGATTGGCACATGAAACATGGATTTCGATCGAACTTCCAGACATTCGTACTGCGCTTTGCACAATGCCGAAATCGCCTCCGGTTTGGTGAGCATGGACAAGGCGGAGAATTTGTCAAACATGGCATCAAAATCGTATTTGGGAATTTCCAACGTGCCTGGAACAAAGAGGGAACGCGAAGGAAAACAGACGTTCCTCCACTTCATTATATATATATATATATATATATATATATAACAAGTCTATACAGATACAAGTCCAAAAAGTCATGGGTTTAAAGCAAAATATAGGAACAGGAAGGGGAAAACAAAAAAACAGCTAACTGGGGGAATAATAACTGTTTTTTTATGTATTCATTACACACCATTTTGAG